CCTAACAGTTCCACAAAAGCAAACTTGTTCAAACATGTCTTGGATTTTAACATAAAATTGTTATTAGAGTACTTCATATATTTATATTGGAGAGCTATAAGCTGATATCTTTCAGTGATCATACATACACCTCTGGTGATATTTTTGCCTGTTGATTGCCACTAGCCACTCACACACACTGTCCTTATGTATTTCCTGACTTATTTGCATGGGTCTTTCCAGGCAAGCTTAGCTGCTCAGAATGTTTAAATCATACTTTTACAGTGTGAACTGAGCTGCATCAGATAGGCAGGGGTTGCATATATTGTGGTCTCGTGTAAAAAATATTTTAATTTATTATGTCTATATTCTGATTAAGAAACTTATCCTATTTTGAAGATATAGAAAGGAACAAGTGTGCTATAAACCACAAAAAATGCAGGATATCTCCAAATACGTTAAAGCTGAGTGATTCTGGCCAATGATCCTTTTAGTGTAGGTGGCTAAATTTAGAAAATCCTCAAACAAACGAGAAGAGTTACTTAAACCAGCAGTTATGAATCAAAACACAGAAACACAAGACCATGAAAAAAATTAAACCAAAAATTGTACCCCAAGTGATCACAAATAACTTAATGAATCAACTCAATGATTTGAAATAAGTAAAATATTGGCAGATGATTTCAAAAGTATACTCTTAAAATGGTGAGTTTCCACAAAAGATACAAATAAAAATTTTATTCAGTCTAGGGTATAGAGAAGAAGGATAGCGACATAGAGGAAAACATACACAAGGCGGATAGTATAATCAACAACATACCAGAATAAGTGGACAAGGGGAAAATATCACAAGGGAAATGTTATTTTTAAATTTGTTTGCATCAAATACAACAGACAGCGAATGAGCACTAGCCTACTCAAATGTGTGGGTCTGGTTGGCCGTGCATTTCTTCCCATTTTCCTTTCCCTCTGCTAAAACTATTAAAATACCCCTGAAGCTAGTCACCAAGTTATATTTCCTTATTTGGCCAGTTCCTCCTCCTGAGGCTGACTATCAATATCTAGCTATCAAAGAACCAAAATTCAGCAATCAAAAGCCCTCATTGGCTCACCTAATTAACATGCCCATGGAGATTAAGCACCTCATCCTATCACCAGGTCTCTACCTCAATAAATTGCCATTTTCCTATGTGCTATGTTGAAACATCATTGGGTAAAAAAATTATCATGATTATAATGTCAAAGAATTCTAGTACATGATGAATAGTTGAATACTAAGATACATAAGATAAAGAAGAGCTGAGATTAAAAACTAAAGACAAATGGAATAAGAAAAGAAAAATACATATCTCTAAAAGGTTTTTGGTAATTATGAGAGGGCATTTAGTTCCCCAAATTGCTATCACCAGAAAAGGATAGAAAAAAAAACATATAGTAATTTTCTATTTTCTTGCGGACTTCAATAATGAATTTCACAGTGTCTGTACCAGTTTTCTGCACCTCTGATACCATACACTATTTGCTCTTTCTGTTCTGTTTTTCCATCATTTTTCATCACTTCTATGATTTCCTTTCAATTTCTTAATCAAATGAAGCAATTTTATGTTTTTCCTTTGGATTCTATTTCACTGCCAAAATTAGAATTCACAAGTCACCAAAGATCATCTATAACTCATTAACCTACTTCAGAAGAACCCAGGTTATTGATAATCTAGATCTTCCTTTACCTCCAATAAGTGTCTTTATTTAGAAGAGATTAGATAATGTTTATTCTTCTGAAGGCATAAGTCAAAAAACAATCCCACTACAGCTTCATGATTAATAAAAAGGTTCTTTATTTAAACGGAAAACTTACAAATTACTGTCCTAGACAACAGCCCTCTGCATGACCAGGAAAGAAGTTTAGTAGAAGGAAGCTGATGGAAGCAAGAGAGACAGAGCAGGGCTACAGCTGCTTTTTAAAGAGAAATAGACCATACCCAAGTGGGCTGGTATCTTAAAGACTATTGGCTGAAGGAGTAGAAGGAGCTGCCACAGCACCTTCTCCTTTTGTTTAAGTAAGAGACTTCCAAACCAGATACAAAAACAATATACAGTAGAAACAGATATAAAGTATAAGATTAGAATTATAATCAACATAAATAATACTAAGCAAAAAAACATATGCTAAATGTTTTAATAAACATTCTATCCTAAGGAGTATAAACCTTGTTGTGGAAATGGCTTGGCTAGATCATAAGAGGATAGTAACTACAACTATCTAATCTTCAACACTATCGAAGGCCTGAGAAGGGAAAGAATATTACTTAATCAGACAGTAAGTACAATCATATAGCTTTCAAATCTAGCAATATATGATAGAGACAACTGGCTACCGGGCCAATCACACAAAGTCTCTTTTGCAATGTTGAAGCAACCAACTTTGGCTAAGGCCTAGAATAACTGACAGACCATTTTCAAAGGCAAGAAAATTTTCAAAACCATGTTACCTTGTCTTGGCAAGATTTGACAGTCCTGTTTATTCATTTTAAGATATTATATCTTGTCAGTGGTTGAGGTATGGGCATTTTTTTGCCAAAAGGCCAGGTTTTGCCAAGAAGAAAACAGGTGCCAAATGGAGTGTCTTTGGTGCTCAACATTCTCTCAGGAATAGATCAGTGCTGCCAGGAAAAATCATGTCTCATGCCAACAAAACCTTAAGTTGTTTAAATCCCATGTTCCACAGATCCTTCAAATGGTTGAAGATTACCTGTCTAGACAGAATACAATCTCTATGTATATAAAGTACCTAACTGACCTAACAAACATGAAGAACTATTGATCTATACTAATTAATACCTGTATAACTTAAAGACTAAAACTTCATGTCAGAATATTAAACAACCTATAAACAAATATGCAACAAATGAGGACAATGACCTCAAAATGTAAACAATATATAAGTATCTTTATCAGAGGTAGGAATAATATATAATTCAATATGAAAATATATCTTAAAAGTTTTATTAATATCCAAAATATCCTAAACAGAGATAATAACATACATATATACAATCTGACAAAATAAATTTGTATAGGTGTAAAAATAAACAAAATAACAAATAATTTGAAATTGTATCAATATACAAAAAGTATACCAATGTAAATTATCCATGAATAATAGCTCACAAGTATTTACTCTATTACCCACTATTACTATCCCTCAGTTTTTTAACAAGAAGCCTGAGCTAATGGGACAATCGGATTATAATTTATGGAGACCTCTGTGTGATTTTCTTTCCGGCTTACTGGCAGTGGGATTTGGCCAGGACAGAAACCACAACAAGCAGCAAATGTTGCAAATGGTGCCCAAACATGTTGATAACTGCAGACACATAAAGGCTGAGACAGCTTGGGAAGTAATTCTTGGAAAAATTAACAGCATTACACATGGTTTCTTGGTAGCAGCAATTTCTCTGGTCTGCTCTGCTTGCTAGAGGCAAGCAAGCACTCTCATCTAAGAGAGGCTTCCTACCTCAGTTTTAGCTATGAAGCCTTGCACTTCTTTTAAGAGGTCCTGCCAAGAAATACTTAAATAGTTTTGATAAAGCTGACTGCATGCTTTTCGGTTTTCAGCCTCGGCGGGAAAAAAGCTGTGCCATTTTACAATGGTTTCTTTCTGGGCCAACCTGCCAGAGCAAATTCTGACTCTTTACACAGGTGGTCGGAATATGAAGCTTATGAGTGTTGGGAACACGCTGTTGTGGCTGGCTTGCTGGTAAGGACCTTGAAACACCATAGAGTTGTGGCAATAAACATGGCTCTGGCTGGAACCTCTGCCACGAGGCTAAAATCTCAGAAACCTAAGAAATGGGCTGGATATCGTCGTACTTTACACATAATACTGGGTTTGTCATTTCCTTCTTATATACTGTCAGAGTTCAACAACTTGAAGTCCAGGTAGGTGCTGTGATTTCTTTTATTGCTTCTGATTTTCATTCATACTTAAACATTTTTTCCTTAGGATGGCAACATTTTCTGGTGCTGTAGTCTATTGGTTTCAATAAAACAAGTACTGATATAGGTTGGCTGAAACTCCTTCTGGAGAGGATTTTATATGTTTACTATGTCAACAGGACCATTTTCACCTACTTTAAACATGGCTGACTTCTATATTATTCTAGAATATGCATTTCTGAAATAAAAACTCTTGACAGTGTTGTACTGCAGCCATGACTACTTGAAGAAATTCAGTTCAATATATTTCCCTATCTTCCCAAATTTAAAGTCTNAGTGTTGTACTGCAGCCATGACTACTTGAAGAAATTCAGTTCAATATATTTCCCTATCTTCCCAAATTTAAAGTCTTATTTCATTTTCCCAATGTTATATGGAGGATATTTCTTTGATCTGCTGTGTTTACCATTGCTTTGAGATGAAAGCTTCTCTCATCTCAAACTTAATTTTCCCCCATGATTTCCAAAGTAAATTCTTGGCTGATCTTTGCTTATGTTTCATTTTAGTCTGGAATCTGTAGCTCAATGTTCACTCAGCATGAATGACTTTACATATGAATGATAATAAACCCAATTAGCCTCAATTCTCTTCCTCATACTTTTCTTTTTTTCTTCACTCCACCCATCATTCCTTTCACATCATGTTTTCTTTCTCTAAGTTTCTTTTGCTGTTGTAAATTTTTAAACATATTTTACCATTTTCCTAGTACCATTAAACTGAGATAGCTTTCCTAACATTTCTGCAAAAGCAAACTGGTTAAAAATGTCTTGAATTTTAACACAAAGTAGTTCTTTGAGTACCTATTAGATTTCTTTTGGAGAGCTATAAGCTGATGTCTTTCAGTGATCATTCATTCTGCCCATGGTGCTATTTTTGTCTGTTGATTGTCACTAGCCACTCACACACACACTGCTCAGACATTTCCTTATGTATTTGATGACTGCTTTGCATGGCCCCTCCAGGCCAGGCCAGCTGTTCAAAATTTATAAACCAGACTTTTACAGTGTGATCTGAGCTGCATCAGCTAGGCAAGGGGAGCAAGATGGAGTCACAGACACAGGTTCTCATTTCCCTGCTGCTCTGCGTGTCTGGTGAGAAATTTAAAGCAGTATAATCTTTGTAGAGTCAATTCTTTGTAAATAAGAAATTTAAAGTGTGTGCTAGTAGATGATATTTCTTATAGTATTTTGTGAGATATACACTGACAAGGTGACACTCTAAGTTTATTAAATGATAAACTTCAGCTGTTACTATATGCTGTGTTTGCATATTATGAATCTTCATGTTGTATTCCTTATTAAAGGTGCCTGTGCGGACATTGTGATGACCCAGTCTCCATCCTCCATCGCTGTGTCATTAGGAGAGAAGGTCACCATCAGATGCAAGTCCAGTCATAGTCTTTTCAACAGTAACTACAACGAAAACTACTTGAACTGGTACCAGCAGAAAACAGGGCAGTCTCCTAAACGGTTAATCTACTGGGCATCCACTCGGGAAACTAGGGTCACTGATCGCTTCATAGGCAGTGGATCTGAGACAGATTTCACTCTCACCATCAGTAGTGTCCAGGCTGAAGATCTGGCAGATTATTACTGTATGCAAGCTAATGAGGAACCTTCCACAGTGCTTCAGCCTCCAACAAAAACTTCTGAGAATTTCAACAGCTGCCTGTACCACAGGCTGCCCTGCA